TCATGGAAACTGCGCAAGAGGGAGGGAGAAAGCTCGAGGAACTGAAAAGCGAGTTAGGGGAATGTTGAGAGAACGGTGTGTGGGGATGATGGCGAGGGCGACGAAGAGAGACAGATAAACACGAAGCTGATGGCAAGGGCAAACCGTTGGGTGCCGAAGTAGGGGAACAGAGCGACGGGTAGAATCGGAGCGGAGAGATGGTCAGAGCTACCTAGGTGGGAACGATAAAAAGGAAGATGGCGGATCACGCGACACTTTTCTATTTTGTAGCAGTAACCAGAGTGTGCGATGTGCGTTACCGATCCCTGATCCCGAACGGCGAACGCGTTTAAGGGATCGATATCGATACCGCTAACGGTTTTCGACGATACACGGTGATAATTTTCGATTGCGATTAATATAGCCAACGATAAACGATCAGAGATAGAGTGTAGGTGGTATTCCCGACGAACAGAAAGAATCCACCCACCTTGTGGGTTGTGCTGCTTCGAAAGAACGGAAACGAACACAAGGAACAGGGCTAAAAGAGAAAGGGGTTAGGAGGTGCACGAGAAAAAAGAGACAGCGCGGGGTGAGGTGGTACGGCGGAAGGGAGAGGGGATGGTAGAAAGAGACGAGATAGAGGCGCGCGCGCAAGAGATCCACCCGAGATTACACTGCCACGAATACATGCGGACAGAGACGGAGGCCGAAAGATGGGAAGGTCGGTTAGAAGGTAACGGCGATAGGGAAAAGAAAGAGAAGGAGCGAGTTAAATAGGGAGTGGGCTGAGCAAGGAAGGGTGACTAGGAGAGGAAAATCGCGTGAAACGAAAGTACAAACGGGATGGGAAAAGTATCGAGTAGATGGAGGGGGGAGTAGTGGGTCGGAACAGCGAGAGGGGATAGACGGAAGCAGAAATTTCGGCGCGTGTGTGCGTGTGCGCGTGCGAGTTGGAAAGACAGATCGAGGGAACGAAGGTGCACCGAAGTTTCCGCCGTCTCTCGAAGAGGGACTCTCGGTACGTTCGTTATACGACCCGCGCGCAGTTGCTGGTGCGCGGCTACGGGGTCGGTGTTACCGTGTCACGCGCACGACCCCAAAAAGTGTGTATGTGCGTGCGTGCCTGCGTGCGTGGTTCGACTGCCGTCCGCGTTACAGGCTCCCTGGTTTGCGCGACGATAAACGCGAGAACCTGCCTGAAACATTTAGAACGCAAGGCAGAGGGAGCAAGTGAGGAAAAAGGCAGAAACAAAGGAAGGAGAAGAGATAGTTTCCTTGATTGCCTCGAAAGAAGAGGAAGAAAGAAAGATATCGAAGGTTTTGCGAATCGTGATCATTGTCGGTCGCGCCACCGTCGTGTCGATAAAGGCTGTTCGCCTGAAACCGCGAAAAGTGGATTCGTCGGTTCTGCTGGAACGCCGCAAACGCCGCCCCGTTTTGCTCCTTTCCACGTCAGTTCCCACCACCCCGAAAACGTTTCCTGGTTCTTAGAAAAAGAGGGAGCGAGACGAAAAGAAAGAGAAGGAAAGAGAAGAAGAAAAGGAGAAAAAGACGTTTGTCGGTTGCTGGTCCATGCGAGACATTCTTTACGTCCGCGATACGATGTGCCAATGACAAAAGCTAAGGCGAAAGAGTCGCGTGCGCGTTATCGATGGCTCGTCGCTAAATTTGTGGATTCCTGGTTAAGTCTCTGATCGGATAAAAGCACGTGCGTAATACACTTCTTTTACCATTCGATCGAGTAAATCGACGCAACGCGATTTCGAAGGTGCGTCACGATCGAGACGGTTCGGTGCCAGGAGGAGTCTCACCGACAAATTTACCGAATTTTCTCCGGGAGCAACTGATTTTCCGAAATCTCAGCTGCGATTCAATGCTCGTACAACGAGAGGAATCGTTTCGAGAATCAGAGTGAATCGACCGGACGTGCGATCCGTCCGTTTTGTGCCTCCTCTAGTGTATCGCGTATCGAAACGACTCGAGTGGAATCGTCGAGTCCGTGAGAAGGTGGTTGTTCAACGACACACGACAAGTGAACGGAACGATCGAAAGGAACGATAGACGCAGAGCAAGAGAGTTCGTATCAGGAGAGCAAGAGAACGGAAAGTCAACGGAAAGGCAAGAAAAGAAAATCGGTGAATCCTTCGGAAGAAGGAAATATTCGACGATCTTATCATCGTCTATCGTTTGGAATTTCCATCGTCACGGTGTAGAGGGCCGTGCGCGCGCTCCACCGCGCGCGCGCGCGCGAGCTCTCACGCGCGGATCCTGGTGCGCGCTACCATTTGTCAAGGGTAGCTCTATAACCTCACTTTATTTTTGGAGAAAGGAATCTTATCGGCTATTTACGAAACGAAAGCAAGAAGAAGAAGGTGTCGAAGGTGTGGAAAGATTATTAACGGAGGATAGAGAAAGGAATAAGATTTCGTTTGGAGGTGTTATCCGGTAAGAAGCGAAGCAAATCTTGATTGTATCGGGAAAAAGAACGCGAGCTAGAAAGAGTGAGAGAGAAACAGAGAGAGAGAGAGAGAGAGAGGGAGAGGGTGTGTGTGAGAGAGAGAAAGAGGGAGAGCGAAACAGGGATAGATAGATAGGTAGATAGATAGATAGATAGATTGATAGATAGACGCATAGATAGGTAGATAGGTAGATGGACAGATAAAAAGAGGACGAGACAGAACAAGAGCCAGAGGGAGAGAGAGAGAGAGAGAGAGAGAGAGAGAGAGAGAGAGAGAGAGAGAGAGAGAGAGAGAGAGAGAGAGAGAGAGAGAGAGAGAGAGAGAGAGAGAGAGAGAGAGAGAGAGAGAGAGAGAGAGAGAGAGAGAGAGAGAGAGAGAGAGAGAGAGAGAGAGAGAGAGAGAGAGAGAGAGAGAGCGAGAGAGAGACAGAGAAAAGCGCAACGAGGTCAAGGAGGAAAGGTTAGGTAAGAGTACTCGCGAAAGGTGGGTACTCGGTAGGCTGCTGGCGAACCTGCTTGGGGTGTGTCCATGAAGTCGACGCAATGGCAACGAACAAACGAAGCGACGTCGGTGCCGCGTAGGCTGTCAACGTGGTGGCCGTTTAAGTTATCGTTAGCGCGGTGGGACGCGTTGCCGTGTTATCGGCAAGCGTGATCATCCGCGACAAAAGAAGGGGGGTAGAAAGAAAAGGGAGAATAGCTGGGCGTTTAGGATGCAGCATGAACCTCAGTGCCCCGTATCGGGAGCTGGTGAGCCTCGGAAGGGGGACTACGGTGTCCAGGTGCTTTCGCCGGTCGAGAGATCGCAGGTCCCCGTTGTCCTCGAAACGGGCAGTATCGCCGGCGTCGTCGTCGCCACTGCCGTCGCCACTGCTGCCGTCGTCGCCGTCGCCGTCGCCGGCGCAACAACAGCAACAGCAGCAACAACAACAACAACGAGAACAGCAGCAACAACAACAACAACGGTTGTCATCGTGTTTACGATCATCACTGTCTCGCTGGTCAATCTGGTCGAGAACTGCCGTTACCGGCGTGGTTGCAGCGCCGCAACGGCATTGGAAGTGTTGGCCACCTGGCAGAAGAAGCGAATCGCGAGGGAAAGGGAGCGGGAACGGAATCGAAATCGGGATCAGGATCATCGGAGTCGCGAGTGGGAGCGGTTACGGAATCAAGATCAGAAACAGAAGCAGGAACAGCGGAAAGAGCGAGAACAGGAGCAGGAGCAGGAACAAGAACAGGAGCAAGAGCAGGAGCGGGAGCGGGAAGAGTCGAACGAAAGCGAGAACGAGGAGAGCATCGGAGTTGTACGACACGAGGAGTCGGTGGTGGTGCAGGTGGCGCGGCAGAAAGAAGAGGCGAAAGCGGTGGATCATCGGGTGCAGCGTCGGCGGCGGCGGCGGCGGCGGAGGCGGCGGTGGCACGAGAATCCCGAGTGCGTGGAACGCGTGGTCACGCCATTGTTATTGCCACTACTGTCATTGCCGCGCGAGTTGGCATTCGGTATCATTACCGTACCAGTTATTGTCGCGTTGGCGCGGTTCGAGTTGGCCGTTCGCTTTGCGGGTCACCGTCGAGATCATCGAGATCGCCGGGATCGTCGAGAAGGCCGCCTGCTCCAGGGGGACTTCTAAGGGCCCCGCCGACCCGGGCCGCTCGGACAGCTGTCATCTGGCTATCGGCTCCGGGATATCTACGAGCGGGGCTGACACCATTCACGAGTCGTCTCGGAAAGAAGATCGTCTCGATTATCCGCGGGAAAGGCGACTACTCGCTGAACTTATTCTTGTTCACGCGCGAGTTTGCTCGTCCGTGTATCCGTTATTCCACCAACATCGGCAATGTAGAAAATTCGTCGCGTCGCTTCGATCGCTTCGAATTCCGGCCTGCTCTTCGATTCCCCAAGATAGTTGGCGTTCCTTGCCGCTGGAACCGAGAAGGTCTAAGTTCGCGACGTTCCGTAGTCATTTTAAGGGTGTTCAGTCTATCGAGCGTCCATTCATTCACGAAATTCGCAGCGGCGAGAACAAAGTGGTCGTCGACGCTGTGCTTCACGACATCGCCGAGTTTGTTGCCGAGAACATCGAGAAGATCGAAGGAAGCGGTAGCGATCCATCTGAGTCGGAACGCGCGAGAACGGAGACGAGAACGACGTCGACGACGACGACGACGACGACAACCACCACCACAACAACAACAACAACAACAACAACAACAACAACAACAACAACAACAACAGCGACAACAACGAGGAGGAGGAGAAAGAGGAGAAGGAGTAGAAGAAGTAGCAGTAGAATCGTGGTGTATACGCAGTGCGAAGGGAAGAACAGCCTACATCCTTGGTGGCAGCGATGCGGGACTTTCCGCAGTTGGACGACGGTTACGCACGCGACTGCTTCAGGGATCATCGAGACAAATTCAATTCTACGAGTTCGGAATATCATCGGCACCGATATCGACGGAAAGGCAACGGGAAAGAAGCAGAAGTGTTTGGGCTGCGTCGCGTCTCTGTGGCGTGGGCCGTCGACGGGAACGATCGTCGTCGGGACAAACAGGGGACGTTAGCGTTCCCGAGCTTGTGTCCATGCGGCTCGATCCGCCCGGTTTCACGGGACCATCTACGTCGTACGATTGGAACTATGCAAGCGACCGTTACTCGTCCTCGGGCTTGCCTTTTCGCTTTCTTCTGCGCCGATCTATCATCCCGGGAATTTCTTTCTTTCGTTTTCGATCCACGGCCTCATTCGTTCGTGGTTCCGAGATTTTTTCTCAGCAACGAGAACTCACCGGAGTTATCGCGAACCACGTCTACCGTCGATTATCCTCGTCGGTTCAGCGTTGTTTGGTCGAGCACGAGGACGAATCCGAAACCAGAAACGCCACTGCCTTTCATGTCTCTTACGAATCAGTTTATCGTAGCGGAGTGCGCCCGCGCATTCGAACGCTCACGAATATTTTGCAGAAAAACGGTGATTGTCGTGTTGTACAGCGAGGGAACGATTGGTTTGACGTCGAAAGCGAGGAGAGAAAGGAAAACCACGGCGACGACGATGACGACGACGATGATGACGACGACGACGACGATGACGTCGATGAAGACGACGACGACGACGACGGCGACGGCGACGACGACGGCGACGACGGCGACGACGGCGGCGGCGACGACGACGACGACGACGACGACGACGACGACGACGACGACGACGATGACGTTGATGACGACGATGACGACGACGAGGATGGCAGCAGCGACGATGTCGATTATGTCGGTCGCGCCGACGATCGTACTTTATCGACATCCCAAGAATCGGGGTCACGGTCTTGTTATACCGGAAGCAGGAAACCGAGAACGAGGTGGAAGAAAGTTGACGAGAAACACGCCATTTTCGATGAATCTGTCAATTTCTCTCGAATTCGTATCGCAAATGCCACGAACGTTCCTCCAGTCGATGCATTTCCTTACACTGCCTATAATGACGAGAACGATAACGAAAGCTTTTGCGATATCGGTGAGTCACGTGTCGTGTTATCCCATGAGATCGGGAACGTTCGTGTCAGAGAGGAACGATATCGAGAAGAGACCAAGTTTTGTCGAGAGGTTCACGATTCGAAGGACGAACTCGAAGCGATCGAAGTGGACAGTATTCGTGGCAATGGAGAACGTTTTCGAAAATTTCGTGGTCGTCGTAAACGGAATTCTTGGAGGAGTGATACGCGCGGAAAGGTGCGTGTGGAGAATGGAAACGGCTGGAAACGCGAAAGCCACTACACTGCCCGGTTCCAGAAGCCGATCACCAACAGACGTAGCGAGAACGAGACGAAAATCTCGACGAACGGACCAACGAAGGTTTCCAATTGGTGTGGCCGAAAGTACGGATTGCTGTTCATCTTGTATCTATTGTCTTGGCCGTTGGTATGTTCGACGAATCCCTCCGGACAGTTTATCGCCGGTTTTACCCATAATCCATCCCTCGGTCCCGTTGACAACCTTCCGCGGCACAATGCCACGCAAACTTCGTCCTTGTTGTTATCGTCGACGGTGGTGCACCAACATCAGCAGCATCAGCAGCATCAACAGCATCAGCAGCATCAGCAGCACCAACAATATCAACAACAGCAGCAGCATCATCAGCAATTGCAAGAAGAGAAGGAAGCGCGAGAAGAATTGGTACGGGATGCCGAGTATAGCAGGGAGATTAACGGGCATCATCGTCGCCGGCACGAGGAGCAACAGGAAGAAGAACAGGGTCGCGATCAACGAGAGGTGGAAGAAACGTTGTATCGAGATCGCGAAGCTGTTCTCGAATCCGAATCGATACATCCTTACAACGAATACAGCTGGGAGGTGAACCAAATAAATCCTTGGTTATCGGCCTGCGATCTGGCGGGACCAGCACCGGCCGATCTTCAGGGTAGCTGCGGTCCACCGGAAGTACCGAAGAATTGCCCGGTCGCTTGCCCGGCGACGAGCTCGAAAGGGAACGGAAACGATGCCGAGTTTTTCGAGGTAATGAAGAAGGTGGAGGTTACCGAGAGGAATTGTTATTGGTCGACTGGAAGAGGAGAGAAGGCGGAATCGGAACGGTTCGGTTCGAGTTCGATAAAGTTGTCGGCGGCAGACGGAGGCGAGGACGCGAGTGGGAAAAAGGGAAGAACCGATGGAGAAAAAGCCGAGGGCGTACGGATAGCTCCGGAACAGTGCCTTTTTTATCTCGAACAGTCACATAAGAAGGACATCTGTCGGGATGATTTTGGCCGGACCAGTACGCGAAGTTTTTTAACCCCGAGGGAGAATCGATATTGGTTCATGAGCGGGTTGCGTCTGCGGCACTGCTGCGAGCACGCGGTGGTCAACGCCCTGGCACCTGGCAAGGGTGGTCCGCTCGAGAATGTGCTGAACGGTGGCCAGAAGTGCGCCGATGCCCTGGACAAGCTGTTGCTCGTCGATGCGTTAGCCGCGAGATTGCATTGTGAGTTCGAGGAAGTGCTCGCGCGATACGACTGTGCACAGCCATATTCGGTCATCTTCAACTGCACCCACTGCAAGGTAAGCGTCTACCACGCACTTTTCTTTTTTACTTAACCCTTTGCTTCTTTCTTTCTTTCGCTTCCCTTTCGTCTCTTTTATCCGCCACCTTTGTCGCTCGATCGATCACCTTAACGGCCTTATAATTACGTAATGTCCCAAGTACGCGTGTAATCGGTTGCTCGAGAGAAACCATTGCTTTCGCGAAAATCGTCCCGAAGAAGTCGGAGAAGGGATAAAGTGGAAACGAGTCGTTTGGCAGACCAGTCGAAACGGGAATCGACTCTTTTGTTTCGAGATCTCGTCGCACCGTAGTTGGCAAGCGTTGCGACTTAGGTTGGCGTCGCGTGCAGGATGCACCCTCGGCGAACGACCTCTTCCGCAATCAGTGCTAATAAGCGTTTCGTACGGAAAGCTCTGCAATTAGGAACGGATTCAATTTCTCCCTGCTTGCCTTTTTCCCTCTACTCCTGTCCTACTCCTTTTTATCGAATCTCTTCGTTTATTCGAGATACTTTGCCAAGAAACTCTTTGTGTCTCGAAACAAACGGGGATACTTGCAGACCTCGTGCAAATTCCTTGCACGTACGATCGATTCCCTTCCTCTGGTCCTTGGTTCGATCTCGTTACGCTCCATGGCTTCATGGAATCTCGGCCAATGAAATTGTCGCGAAGAAATTGGCCCGATTACTTCCTCGATCGTCTACGTAGCCCCGATTAACGCCGATATTTCTATAAACCCTGGTTGACCGAGGTCCAAGCCGACTCTCGAGACCCGAGGAGGGATTAAATTCGTGAAGGCTGCGAAAAAGCGATGACAAAAAATCGTCGGTGGTTGATCGCTTCAGGTTGGCCGGTGTTAACACCGTCGAGCTAGAAGCGTTAAGGGTTTTAGAAGCGATCGCGCGGACAGAAATTTGCGGAAGAAGAGCCGCTCGAGCGACGTTGATGCCAACTCGAGCGCAATATCGATTTAAACGATTAGCACAGCCATTCGTTCGCCCCATTTGCGGCTCGAGGGTTAATGCCGAATTCAGATCCCGTGTTTTATCTGTTATATACATATGTATGAGTCGACGCGTCGATTCGTTTCTTCGTTCGTTAGTTCGATTTCCATGTTTGCGTGGTGCAACTCTTCCGAGCGGTTCCTCTGTCATCGCGAGATGTATCCGGTGCGTGAACGGGACGTCCTGAAAACTTCCCCTTCGCGGTACACGTGCCTACATGAACGTATGTAGAACGCGTGCTAGATTTTTCGCCGGATAAAGCGTTTGATTTTCGAAAAAGGGACTAATTAATTAATTCTCTACCCGTTCGACGAAACTTGAAGGATCGTTGACCTACAAACGAAAAGAACGCGAGTGGATGAACGAACGCTGACGATGGTGAGAATCGGTTACAGTACACGAATCGTCTTTTCTAATGCAAGAGTGCATTAATTGGCGGATGCTTGCGCGGCCATTAAGCTCGTGCAGCTGCACGGATTTGCCAATTTTAGACGAACGAATCGAAACATCGAAGCGGGGATTCCGTTAACCGTAGAACGGTCATTCGTCGATTTAATTAGAATCGACGTTAAGAAGTAACGTATCGAGTAGTCCCCGCGTTTTGGATCGTTTTCGAACAGCCAATTATCGAATGCGTTCTATCCAGGTTATTTCTATCGTTCGTTCTTCCAACAGGTGCAATATACGTATCTCAAGATGGAACATGGATTTTTCTCTGATCTTTGGGCTTTCGGGAATTCGGTTACTCGTGCAACACAGCGATATCGTAGGACGAAACTCGTTAGCTTCTTATCCGGTCATGTTTCTCCCTCTATCGTTATCAATTTCTTTCTTTTTCTATTCGCATCGAACGAGTCCGTGTAATTACGTTTAACCTAATTTGTACGATGTTCTCGCTGATTGTATAGGAAACCAATTTGCAGATATTCCAGTGCGTTGAACACAGTGGCAGCCGTTATCAGTCACGTGTCGGTCGGTGGCTATCGGTTTTATCGTTGAAATTTTTTCGGTTCCGACAGCGATCCCGCATGCAATCGAATGGAAGTTCATGCTTGAGAATTTCTCTGCGTAGCATGCAGCGGTAGAAAGGGTTGAAAGGTCGGTGCAGGTGTACCGGAGAGGATGACCGGCGCAGTTGCAGGCACAGTTACAGTTGCAGCCCGTCGCTGGCAGCCGGTCATTGCTTCTCTGTCCTACGAATCCAGTGCCTGCGTTGGCGCCGGCGCCGGTGACGGCGTCGGCGTCGGTGTCCACGTCCACCTCTACGTCCACGTCCACGTCCATGTCCATGTCCATGTCCATGTCCACGTCGGCGACGGCATTGGCGTCGGCGTCGGCGTCGACGTCGGCGTCGGCCTCGGCCTCGGTGCGCGTACACGTATGCTTGCCGTACCGCTGTGTATATAGCTACGAGAAGTACACACGCGGATTGCCGGAGACAGACATAGAGGGAAATCCTCGCGTAACCTTGTTAATGGCTCGTTGTCCCTTCTCGAAACCGCTGTCCGAATGATGGATAGGATGTTTGATAACGATTAGCTCTAGGAAACTGAACGTTACTCGTCGAGCTCTCGATTCTCTTGGGTTTCTTAGCTCGCGACAGACGTTACGCACATATTTGTACACGTATCCCTGCTCGTACGCTTAACTCGGTTACTTTCGAGACGGTCGATCGTTGACGCGATGGAGTAAACGATGGGGTGGAAGTTAGCGACGCTGTTCGTTTGGTCGCGGGGCTAGGTAACGGGGATGGTTAAACAGATTTATCAGCGGGTGTTTCCCCGTGTCTCGCATTTTGCATTTCGTTCGATCGAAAGGCGCGAAAGTCGGGCGTGCGCTAAGTGCGCCTGCTCCAGTCCCGCTTATCCGCTCGTATGCAGACATGTGCATACATACGTGTCCCTACAAACGTGTACTTCACGCGTATGAACACGTTGACGCTCTCACCAACTGGTTTAATGATTAAACGTCAAGTATAGTCAGCCATCACTGTGAAACTGGTTGCTTATGGCAGCTAGTTTGCTTACGAGTTGTTTGCAACCGCGTTGTACAACTCTTACACGTAATTACAGATTCCAGCGAAAGAATCAATCGATGCGACGAGATTTGTCTTCGATTTTCGGCGACGGAGAAACCGCGGTGATCTTCTGCGAAGCGGATTTCGTTCGAATTACGGGAAAAATTGACGGCACGGAGCGGAAAGCGTTTCGCAAAGGATAAGAGAAAGTGGAAGAGAGACGCGAAGAAAGCGAATAATTTAGTCGAATGTCCCTTAGGGAAAACCCGATGCTGAGAATGGTGGAGAAAGAGAGAGAGAGAGAGAGAGAGAGAGAGAGAGAGAGAGAGAGAGAGAGAGAGAGAGAGAGCACGATACGTGGAATCGAGATTGCCAAAAGAAAGTTTCGTTCGATGCACCCCGAAATATTTTTCCCTCTTCGCTCGTGTAAAACACGCGGTTCGGAGCGATAGTTTAATAAAAGTACGATATACGAATAACGCAAAATAACGAAAGGGATGGATATTTTTGGTGGAGATTGTTTTAAAGGAGGGACGCGGAAAGTTGTTTATGGTTGGTTACATTTTTGGAGAACGGTTATTATCGATGCATAATATACGCAATTGCGAGCTGTCCGATGCAGTGTGCAGCCACTCCTCTTCCTCGTTCGTTTCGCATACGCGTGTATATCCGTGTAGGTACGTATGTGCACGTATGTGTAAGTCTCGTGTCCTGTGCAAGTTATGCACATATGTTATTCAACGACGCCTCGTCGGTGTCTCGGTTCTCGTCTAGAATCCGACGTAGGTGGACACTTCGGGTAATTGGCAACAAACTATGCGGATAAATGTAACTCTACCGGCATATATACCTTATTATCCCAATGAGCCAGGTGTTTCCATCGAGTGTCTCGTTTCCGATGCGAGCACTGTATCATCCCTCCTTTATACGGAATTTCTCGTCAATTGTGCGCATCGTCTATGCATATACCGTGTATGCACGTCGATTAATTGAACGAGCTTCTTCGAACTTATCCTCGCGTCATCGAGTAACGAGAATTCCTGCTACGAAGTCGATGATTTTACGTTCGTTTCCGTTATTCGTATCGGTTATTTATATTCGCGTGGTTCAGAGGAAACGATTAGCTGTTCTTTTGCGAATATACCGGAGAGTTCGCTTAAAACAAGGTTTCCTATTTTCCTATTTTCTGTAATGGGATACGCGAAGTTTGGTCGCTAGCTACGATCCGACCATAGCTTGTCTTTTACACGATTTTACGTGATACATCGGGTGTCGAATGCAGTCGCTATGCATCATGAGAAAACAATAGCTTCGTTGCTCCGCCGTTTCAACTTTCATACGAACGTATCGATTGTAAACGCGCGGTAAAAGTTGCGCGACCTGCAATTAGCGTAATCGCGTTGTTTTACCGCACGATAGTCTCGACAAAAGGTCTACAACGTGCACAGGATACGTATAAACTCGCGCCGATGCATCGACGCATTCGGAGAGGACGACGAGCGCGTTTTGGACGAGGTTCGAAACGAAGACACGAATTTTTCGACGCGGTAACGAATGAACGAGACGAGATAGGCTGCCCCTGATAAATCTTTAAGCGATTAAATCGAGTTTTCACGGTGGCGAAGTGTAACTAACGCGTCGTCCCGAGCCTCGATCGATCGTTCTAACGAAGGCGAATTAATTAACGAAATTGACGTAAAGCCGGACCGCCGACGCGTTCCTCGATATCCCTAGAAAAAATAAGTTGCGTTATTTCGACCGACCGGAAGACCAAACGAGGTTGCTATTCGAGCGACGAAAGGTCGGCCAGCAATCTTAAATCGAGATCCCGTTTTATTCAAACTCGCCTCTCCGCCGTCTGACGTATTCGATCCCAGATCTCAATCGCTCCTTTTAACTTGCTTGAATTAATTAACAAAATTGACGTCAAAGCGGTTAGCGTGGATGGTTATGGCCGATCGTTATTTAACCTTACTCTATCGAGCATTCTTGCAGTC